CTTCAAGATAGCTTGAGGCTAATATATTTTAATTTGATTTCCTCTCTCTTTTGGGTACGACTATTTGACAAATATAAATATTGTTGTTGTTGTTGTTGTTGGTCCACTATCAAAACATATTCAATAGTATTGTGTCTTTCTGTTTGTTTGATTTCTTTTTCGGATGGTGATTTCAAGTGTAACCCTACATGCGATTATTAATTCATTTACAGGGAGAGACAAATAATTAAACGTATTGGGGCAGTGAAGAATCCATGAAATGGGAGAGAGAGAGAGAGAGAGAGAGAGAGATAGGTGTTGCATGCAATGAGGGCCATCAAATGAGTCTTGTGGCCTTCACGGGGTTTGTGCTATATATCAAGATCATATGATTTATGAGGTGATGAGGAGGAGGGTCGGACTGGTTGAATGACAAATTTATGTGAGTGTCTTAAATATCTATATTTAAACTGCATTCTGAATTTTATAGTGGATCATATTTAACCATTGTGAGTATCTTTTTTTCAAACACTTACCCTCACGTTTAAGCCCTAATTAAAATGAACAAGCTATGAAGAAAGTGATTGTTGACACCCAAAAGTATGGCCTCAAAACTGAATCACAATCCTAAAGCTTAAGCATATCCATATTCGTATCCAACCAATATAAGTTGTACGTAGTTTTTGCTTATGTATGTCTACTCTTATGCACATATAATGCATCTTAACGATATAACAGAATCCTTAAAAATATAATTACATGTGAACGAGATTGATTGATTCTTTTAGGATTATCAACCGACACTTAGAAAAGTCTGAATTAGGTAAGTTGGATTGAAAATGTTAGGCAAAGTTCTAATCAACCAAGGTTGTTTTGATAGATAGATGTTAAACTTAAACCTAATTGTAATAAAGTAAGATATCTAGGTGGAAGCTCTCAATATCCAATTCTAGTCTTTTCAGTGTAGTAGGAAAAAGATGTTCAAAAGGAAAAGGCATGCAGCTATCGAAAAGGCTAGGAAAGAGATTGAACAGGTGAGAGTTGCTTTTGTCAAGTCATTCTTGGGTTGACCACATATTTTATTTCTTCGTGTGGTTTTGTTTATTTGTAGGTGTGAAGACAGTGATAAAGAAATTACCAGTGGAAAATATGGTCAAAAAAAATTTGGTCGGCTTATCTTTGCTGGTCTTCTTGGCAAGTCAATGGCCAAAGGGCTGAAGTCTTTTTTGTTTATGTTAGGTGAAATAGAAAATGAAAGACTGGTTAGAAGAGCATCTTCTTTTGAGGTCTTCCACTTTGTTAAATGGATTTTGCTTTGTTTATTTATGTTTTTTCTTTCTTTCGAATCCCACAAATATTAGGGGAGATGATAAAAACCTACATTGACTAATTGCTTGCCTAACTCCTAATCATAAGAATATTTTTGGATTCTTATGTTAAGATAAATGTTCCCTCGACGTTCCACTTTGTTAAATGGATTTTGCTTTATTTATTTATGTTTTTTTTTCTTTCGAATCCCACAAATATTAGGGGAGATGATAAAAACCTACATTGACTAATTGCTTGCCTAATTCCTAATCATAAGAATATTTTTGGATTCTTATGTTAAGATAAATGTTCCCTCGACATATAATTGGACACCATCTTGCCTAACTCCTAATCATAAGAAGATTTTTGGATTCTTATGTTAGGATAAACGTTTTCCTTGAAATATAGTCTAACATATAATGTTGTTTGACTAATAATTTGAATCATTTGGTTAGATGACTTTTTATATATTAAATTTATAATTTAAATTAACAATCTCCCGGTATATCATGTCAAATATCTAATAAGAGAACATTATTCATATGTTAAATTAATCGACAACTTTCGTTACTATGTTAGAAGAAGTTTTAAGTTTAAAAATTTATAGACGACAGTTATTGAAAAAGAGAAAAAAGAAAAAGAAAAAGAATAGTCGATAATGAACTTTTGGATGGGGTCATAAGTGGCGGCACTTGGTGGTTGGGCCACACTGCCAAAAGGGGTAAAGTAAGCGTGGGCTAAACAAATTAGGCTCACAGCCTTCCAGTGGTCTGATTGAATGGGAACAGTATGACCCATTTAGGTAGAAAATGTAAAAAATGCCAACCTTTTGATTGTGGTGGTCATTGGTCAATAAAGATTTCTTATTCGGTTGCAATCACTTTACACTGGGCTCAACCTTCCAGGGCGCCAACGGGTCAACACAGAAGAACATGAAAACTTCTGATGTTTACCAAACCATAGGACCATCTTGGTCTTGGCCTCAAGGCGGGTTTTCTTCGGTGCTTCATTGCACCGAGTGCGAACAACGGTCATCTTTATATTTGAAGTGGTAGTGTATGTGCTTGGAGTGGTAGTGCGTGTGTTGAAGCAGTAGTATTATGCTTGAAGTGGTAATATATTAGTCCCGCGGTGACTCAAGTTACCACTTCGAGGGAGCAATGTACTAATCGGACGATGTGAAAGTGCTTTTGCACCAAGTGCAGCATTGCACTGAAGAAAATCCGCTCTCAAGGAGGATCGAAAAGAAAAGTTTGAGCTGTTTCACTGACTGATTGGAAGCATCAGGATTTGATCAAAAAGTTGTAAGGCTTAGCCCAATGAACCAAAACTTTTCTATCATGCATGAAGCTTTGGGCCAGGACCATGTACTAGTCGGACGATGTGAAAGTGCGTTTGCACCAAGTGCAGCATTGCACTGAAGAAAATCCGCTCTCAAGGAGGATCGAAAAGAAAAGTTTGAGCAGTTTCACTGACTGATTGGAAGCATCAGGATTTGATCAAAAAGTTGTAAGGCTTAGCCCAATGAACCAAAACTTTTCTATCATGCATGAAGCTTTGGGCCAGGACCAACCAAACTTTGGTTACCAAAGGACTGCAATTTTGGGCCAGAAACCACATAGTGGCAGAGGCTAATCTGGCAATTTTCCCTCACTCAAGGACTGAGGTGTATGAGAATTATATTGCACTAAACAGTTGCTCTTCTCAGTTGCCAATTTACACTGTAGAAAATAAAAGCCCAAGGAAGATGTGCAACTATAAGAAGAAGTTTATTTAGATCATAGTACATCAAAACTGTGTCAGTGTCTGAGCCCACATTAGAAGTTTAGAACTGAAAACCAACAGATAATCTGGGAACAACAATTAGATAATGAACACTTCATATAAGAAATGAAATTTCTGGGCTCTTTTGTTACTCTAACAATATGACCTCTTTTGCTCAAAATCCCGGTGGAAAATCAGCTAAAAACATGTCAGTTGATTCTAACTCCTGATGTCGAATACGCGAGATGGAGTTACAGGTCAAGAATGTATACATTTGATCTACTGAACATGCCTGGAACTAAGATACTGAATGCCTCCTACTCCTCAACCGGGTGGATTTTGTTTCTTCTGCATTGGTAGAAGTAGAACCAGGGCTCTCCGATGTGTTAGAACTGCTAATTTCACCATTTCTTTCTTTGCTTGACCAGAGCTTAGAAAATATCTTTTTTGACATGAGCAAACCTTTCATTTTACTCGCAGCAACTTTTTCAGAATTATTTGTAGCACCGTGATTCGTGTTTCTATCATTGCCTACTCCCCGATTCGCATCACCTAACCTTAGAGTAGCAAGCTCCCCTTTTAAAGCTTTGATTTCCTCTGCTGTTGGCACAGCATCCCAGTCCTCTTCTGTGTTGGTTGTAGTGGACCTTGAGCTCCCATGAGACCCACCAGGGAGCAAGGCCCTGATGGACCCTTGTAGATCAGGTGTGCTGTTGCCACCGGATGCTGAAGCCCTAATCTGTTCAAAGAAAAGGACCTGCACAACGACTCTTAAGGGCAGCCGCTCATTTTGTACAGCATGCATGCAGGCATCTGTTGACAACTTCCTGCAATCCATTAATTTGCATATTCTCTTCCTCTCACTCTTGCTGATCCCTGGGTGTTCCTGCACCAACACACAACGTATCTGTTACACAAATGTGTTCAAAACTGAGAAAGTACCCTGCTATATTTGCTTGTATGTAAGTCGCACACATCGACTAGAAATTGGATTTACAAAAATTCAAGTCATGAAACATAATAAACAAATACTAAACATTTGTATTTTTTAAGGTGAGCAATGATTACTGGCAGTTGTGCAGGATGCATTGGAGAAAAAATATACAAAGAAGTCTCAACAACCAAAAAAAGAAAAAAGAAGGGGAGAAATGGGGGAGTAAACAAAATGCAATTTGTTAGTTATGGTTACAGAAGTGTCATGACTAACCTTTAGATACATGTCAATGGCACGATAAAGTCCATCATGGGTTGGTCTTGAGAAGTTTGATACCATTTCAGCAAGCCTGACAAACTTTGATGCAGGTAAGTTGGGATCACGTGAAACTTCAGTAAGGTAGCCATCAACCAGTTTTGCCACCTTCACCTTGGAAGTATCTGATAGGAACCTGGGGCTCCTAATCTCCTGGAATTCAGCTTCCATTGAAGGATCAGTCTGAGCTCTTCGATCAAGTGTCACAAACTCCTCAATTAGGTTTTGCACTATATCAACTTCATACATCAGTGCTTCCTCAGTTGGGGCTTGAATTAAAAGATCAGAAACTGTAGCCTCATCAAGCTGCTGACCAATTTTGCTAATCAATTCACTTTTTTCCATTTCTCCACATTCTAACAATATTGCTGCTTTTAACAACTTAAGTAAGAAACTGCAAGGGACGCTGCCTGCAGGAAGTAAGTGGATTACAGTCTCCACCAATGATCTATTCTTTATGACATCACCACCCTGAATCATACCCTTGCTAAAACCCGATAACCTTCTGGTAGAATATGCCTTTAAGGCTTCCCCTATTACATCACCAGAGAGTTTTCCTTTGGTCTTAATTATATTTATCACCCGCTTGTATAAATCAAGTTGAAGCCCACAGAGGTCTTCTACCCACCAGTCTTTGGGAACTACCTGTTGTTTTCCCACACCATTCCAGTGTTCATTCCCATTACTGGATGGTAGCTTTTTTAGGTTATATGTATATGACCATTCCACCTTGGAGGTATCAATGGAAGCCTTGGAAGCTATGGAATCAAGGCAGTGGCTCACCACCTTAACTTCCTCGGACCATGGAAGAAGAGACCTGGTAGTCTGAAGAACAATAATTGAGTCTTTCCAGCTGCGGAAGATGCTAGAGTTTAGGAAGACTTCAACCTTGTAGACAAGGTTTCCTTTCTCAACAGTTTCATACATCTCCAGGTACTCTGCTGCACATCGAGTTGCAACCACATTGTATGCATTGAGAGTGACCATCATGCCGTAACAGAACTTGGCACATATTTCAAAAGCAGCAGGTCCACCAGGAATATCATGGATGTGGATCTCATCACTGCTTTCATTTGTGGTTGCGACCAGTTTCTGCAGGCGTGCACTCTTGGACAAAAGCGGAAACTACAGAAGCATCAAAGAATATTAGAATGAATGCATTAAGGAGCTTACCAATTCAACTAAAAAATTGTTGGTATCCCAAAACCCCATCACTGTGTCTTAATCCAATGCAAGTTTAGCTTGTTTCGTTTGGCAATCAAACAGATGCCATTGCATTGGTTTGAACCCAGCCTTAACTAGGGTGAAGTAAATGACACAAAGCAATAGTGAAAAATGGGTTTAATAGGATCAAAACCATGTCGCCTTGGAATATAATTAGAGAGAAAATCACGTGACACTGTATATCCCTAGTCAGGCAACTCTGAAATTGGAACAAATTGACCCTCTCACCTAGCTGGGTTATGAGTTCAGAAAAAGTATATTACTGTCAACCCATCAATCCATATTAATGTTTAGAAAATAACAAGCGACTGACCAAAATATAGGATCCTGTTTAAGATCAAACAGATTTAATACCTTGTGCAAATAAAATTTCACATCTCCGACGTTAACAACTATGTCAGTTGCCAACTCAGTTGCGACGTACCTGTATGCACAAATTTTCACATGTCAACCACAAACTTGATGAAAACTACGCCTTACTTGAATGTGAATAATCTAAGCAAACACATAACAAAAATTAGAAATTACATTGGCTTTGTTAAACAGAAAGTTAATACAGAAATCATGTAAATTTTCTTTTAATTTTAACAGACTTCCCTGACCATAACCTTTTATTTTGACCATAACTTCGCAAATCTAGTTTAGAAAGCAAAAGATTGTTGAACATTAACAGTGAATGATCAACTTTCATGGATGAAATTAATTTCCCTTATCAATGTGGGATGGCACCCAACAAGGAAAAGTAGATGGAGCATACAGAATGTATATGTACGTATGCTCATACATACATATATACATAAATACATTATAAAGTTACATACGTATATTATTCCATCCTCAAAGTCAAAACCTTTAATACGATGACACAGTTGAAGTGAAATCTTAGTTCCTCATGTAGCTACACAGACAACAGATCAACGCTTGAAAAAGTCAATGAGTCTAAACATGAACAGGACTATTAAGACATTTGGAATTGTTACCAAATCCATGTTGAGAAAATTAAGGTCAGAACTGTATTATTCACAGTTCTACTTATAACCTTGTGCCTCCACTAAAGCTTTTAAAATTTACATCTGACTTTTCAGAAAAGTAAATTGATAAATATCTCCCAAACAATGGCGCATATAAATATCAAGGAAAAAGATGAGGAGGGCTAAATATACTAACAAGTTAGCAACTGGGTTACTAGCAAGATCTTATACTCACCTTATATTGTCTCCATCAGTCTGGAAGAAATCAGGTTTGGATCCAAGCTTCATGAACTTCATTTTTGGCAAGAGATCTGCTGCTATGTTTTCCTTCTTCTTGATTTCTACTAAGCCTGCAAATGTCTTCACCGCCAATTCGATATCAAAGTTCCCCAGAAAATATAAGGAAACTCCCAAAAGTGGTGATTAAACAGCTGAATGTCTTGGATGTTCAAGGTAAAAAAGAATAGATCTTAGGAAACTTTGGTGTTCTTCTTAGTATGACCGAATCTTTCCCACTAACCAAGGCTAAAGAAACTAAGAGTAAATGGGATTAAGTGATTTTTAACAAATTGTTCACTTGAATGAAAAGAGACCAAAAGGAGGGGTTGCTTCCTGAAATGGCTACACAACCCAAGGACCCCGGAGAAACAGGGCCAGCTCAGGAGACATAAGCCATTACCAACTGACCATCTCAAACATATATAATTCTCAAAGCCAGAAGAAAAAAAAAATTCCCCAACTTGCTTAAAACTGACACCACCGCCCTTGCCTTATTTGTTTATCCTTCTTATTCTATATATTTGCCTTCTCAGTTCCTTGTTTTGTCTTTCCAAAGGGTCAAAAACTACCAAGACCTTTTTCTGGCCCACAAAGTTTCAGAACCCGAAACCCACAATCCTCATTCCTTTACAGAAATGTTCCTTCCTCACTTTGAAGTTAGAACACCTGCAATAGCAAAACAACATATCTCGATCTTAGTTGAATTAACCAACAAAAAAGCATCAATTTTTGGGGTGTACAAGCGAGCATCAGTATCAAATACCAACACGTTTGTCTCTAACCACAAGTGGAACTGAAAGACTATCAGATTTAGAACTCAGAATGTGACACAGAATCCAACCCGAGAACATCCCATGTCGTTTACCAAATAAAGCATTGAAATTCCACCCAAAGCAACACATGCTGTCATGCACAGGTTGAATACGCAAACCAAATACATACCCTTCTGCCATATATTACAATAAATGTAAGAAAATCTAGCATAACCCAATATCAAAATAAACAAGGAAGAACCAAAAACCCACCTCAAATGAAGACCAGAGAGACCAAACTGAGCAAAAATTTCTCAACTTTCAGAAACTAAATGACAGTATGAAGCATAATAAAGCATTAAGCAAACAAAGAAAGGAGGAGATAAGGAGAGAAAAGTATGTATTGAATCCAAAGCTAAGAGATTTAGAGAGAGTCTGAAGAACCCACCTTAAAAATGTAGGAGTGGAAGAACTGGTTTCTCCTTGTTCAAATCATTTTGGTAAAGTACCAGGAATCAATCTCAGTGGCACAAACAAACAAACACAATGTGTAGAGACACTGCATGAGATGAAAGCACGATATCCTTAGAGAACCCCACAAAGCTAATAGCCCAGAAAGAGACCACCCATTAAAAGATGAGCTGTTTGCTTATCTTTGACAGCCACCAGAGCTACACAAAACACAAAAAGCCAAGCTCAGTCTGCTACCACTTCCCACTCTCTCTCTCTCTTGTAACCCCCTTTTGAATCAGCACCACCGCCCCCACCAACACATCATTTCCGTTCCCGACACGTCTAAATCAAACGGTTAAATATGGAAGCATACAACTTTTTTTTTTTTTTTTTTAAATTTTTATTTCAAGGAAAACATAACCAGTGAACAAGAACTTAAAAATGGTCA